GCCTTTTTAAATTTAACACTTATTTTTTTTAAATTTTCATCATCTTTTACCCACCTTTTCATTTCTATCACCTATCTCATACTCCTGTCTCTCTTTGAAGTACTTCTAAAACTACCTACTGTTAGCAGCACTTGTAAAACATGAATTATAGGCTATGTAGTAGCAATCACTTCAGACATTATTTTTATTTATACTTTTCCCATGGCACTGGAGAAAAACATATTATATATATATAATTTTTATATTTCTGAATTCTTTCCTTTATTAGTTTACAGTCGCGCATATTTACTGCAGTACTGTACCAGTGCTAAAGGTTTGAATACACTCCAGGTTGCCTATTTGAAGGCGCATAATACCGAAATTGACCTAGTTGTACGATAAAAAAATGACATTCAAAATGTCTGGTCTCCAGGGGAATCACGCTGGAGCGTTGTATGAGTGAGACTGGATGTTTCGACGCACGGGTTAAAAAGTAGGGAACTCACTTCTCGAGTAAAGTATTTCTCTTAAGAATTTCTCTGCATATCTAAACTACTTGTATATTTGCTTCGCTTGCTTTGTGTTCATCTTCACATTCAGATTTTAGATTAGAGAGCTCTTGGCATTATTATTATTATTAGTGTTCTGTCTGACGACAGGTCCATATGAACAGGATCCTTCCATCCTTTTCTCGGACTGGGACCTGTTCATATACGTTCTTGGCAGATGATCCAGAAGTGGTTTGCCATTGCCTTCTTCTGTGTGTGAATGGAGTAATTGTTGGGATGCCACGGAGGAAAACTCCGTGTTGCCTAGACCACGGCCTTGCCCAACACAAGTTATAAATTCGGGCACCGCCGGGAATCGAACCCGAGACCCCAGGATTACAAGGCCAGCGTTCTAACTGCTAAACCACCGTAGCGGTCTCTCTTGGACATGATTTCACTAAATTAGTCTGTGTGGACATCTTCTGAGGGTGTACGCCTTGACGGCGGCGACAACACTCTGTAAAATCCTCTCCAGCCCTCGGCAGCGCCAAGTTGTCGAAAATGAATCGACGTTTCGGTAAACATCTCCGTCACCATCATCATGGATCGAATCTGACTGGAACTTCTATTGGCTCGTACAATCGCGTACATGCTTCCGTTCGGTTACTGATTCAAGAACCTTACAGAAATTGATCGTCTGGCTAAGAATTTCACCGCCACTTATAAAACCAGAAAATATGTTGCAGTCTACACACTAACCCAGACCTGTATCCTAATCTGTGTCACATGAATACAGTCTAAACACATCATAGTAAGTTCTATTAATATTATTCCCAAACCTACATTAATTTCTCACGTGTGGTTTCTTTCTGAAGATTTTCCGAGACTGTGAAATGAAAATTACCATTGGAAACAAATCTCAACATTTCATTGATCAAATCAAGTTGTATGCTAAGTTAGTTTCTGAGCTGTATTAACTGACGACGTTAAATATCTAACGAACAGTTCGGTCTGAGGGTTTAAATCCTAATTTTACAACCATACTATAAAAAACTTCAAGCGAAATCTGATTAATTTTTCCATTTCCGCTTTATCGGGGTTTAGACGTAAAAAAAGAGCTTTCTCCTAATTAGTACCGTGAACTGAGTGTTAGACAAACACGTGCCAGAAGGACAAGTCACGCATCATAACAAACTGTTTAGGTTAATTAATTTTCTGCCATTCTGATACGTGAAGGGCTGAAATAGGTCAATAAACCCCATGTGCCGGTTAAGTTCACTCAACCCTCAACCTGCAATGAATTCAGACGTAGTTATTCCAGACGACGACTACATGCATAGGGCACATAAGCTGTGAAGCACGAGGAATTTTTTACGTAGCTTTAACCTGCTTCAACACTAACGTAACAGTGGTCAGAAGAGGTCAACGATAAATCTGATGTTTACACAGATATACAGGGTATACACAAAAGAATGGTGCTGTTTCAAAAGTTAAACTTTTGAAACAGCACCATTCTGTTTATTTATTTGTAGTGTTCTGTCTGAGGACAGGTCCATATGAACAGGATCCTTCCATCCTTTTCTCGGACTGGGACCTGTTCATATACGTTCTTGGCAGATGATCCAGAAGTGGTTTGCCATTGCCTTCTTGTGTGTGTGAATGGAGTAATTGTTGGGATGCCATGGAGGAAAACTCCGTGTTGCCTAGACCACGGCCTTGCCCAACACAAGTTATAAATTCGGGCACCGCCGGGAATCGAACCCGAGACCCCAGGATTACAAGGCCAGCGTTCTAACCGCTAGACCACCGTGGCGGTCACCATTGTGTTTGATACTAAAATAGGCCTAAATCTGATATAATTATAGAGGACGTTCTGTGATGATACGGATGAACTGCTGGATTGTTAAACTGTCCGGATGAGCGTCCTTGCCACAGTCGAGGTTTTCCTTAGTTTCCCATTGTATGTTAATTTATACATTTAATCCCTTAAGTCCCAGTGGTAAATAAATGTCCCACCTGCTTCAACAAACAATAACTGCTCGTTTTGTATTTATGGGTTTCGTATTATTAACATAATAAACAAGATATTATTTTTTTGAAACAGCATTAATCAGATGATCTTTTTGTTTTCTTTGCGGTACGGGCTGAATTCGTAAATATTATTTGGACGAGATTCGACGTCAAAGGATTTACGTGGTTTTACTTGTAAAATCCTCTCCGGTTTTTGGTGTTCGTCATCCGTGTAAGGCTGACAGCGACCACAGAGAAGTTGAACATGTCTGCGTCTCTACACCCTGGTCTTTTCGTACGTGCTGTAATGTTTTATCGCAAAATCCTTCGTACGTTGTCAGTAAGGACATCAGAGACTGTTGGTACGACGATAAAATGCACTTGGTGGTCTTACTACGTAATGAAATATTGGCATTCCTAAAAGAACAATAAATCAGAGGTAGACACTGCAATTAATAAGGTAAGGTCTTGAAATAGCTCCACCGTGTACGTGATTCCCTTCTGGCTCGCTGCTTAGAATACAGTTTCCCTGTAAATAAAATGGTACCCAAGACCAGATTTTCGTTTGCAATGTGTATCATCTTCATTCAAGCATGTTTAAAGGTGAATATAATTATTCTTAATTCATCATTTCACTTTGTTTCTTTTTTCTCCATTCAGATAGTAGAGAAAGATTTTAAATTAATTCGTGATAATACTGCCTCCTTTTTAGAGTGACGGTAAATAGAATAAATTCAGTCGTGTTAGTCCTGAAGCATTTTTAACAAATTCGTGGCTTGGTACTTTTGCACCAGTTTTGAAATCAATGTCCAATTATTTTCGTCGTTAATGCAATTAACTTTTAAAACCCACTCCAAGTTTCTTGAACTTTGCTGCATTTTCGAACTATTTATTCTCTGTTTTTATTATTTAGTTCTGCAGTCTGGTGACAGCGAGAACCTCTGAAACGTCGGTAATCTTCTACCAGGCTACACGATTCTACAACCCAGAAGACAGCCATCTTTTCTGTGCCTGTTTATATACAAATGTTCTTACTATCTCGCCTGATTTATTGAACTTTACTAATTTCGTATTCAAAAGCTAAGTTGGATATCAGTGTCCACAAAACATTTCTTTGTTGTAGACAATTCTGAATAAATACTGCGATAGACAAATGTTTTCCTAAGTAGGATTTGAGGTTTTCACGAGGAACAATTCAAAGATGGCTGTCTTCTAAACTTTAGCGTCGTGCAGTCTAGTAGAAGTTTACCAACGTTTCTAAAGTCCTTGCTGCCTCCATCATCATGGCGACGTGAAACTTTGGTAAACTTCTACTAGACTACGCGACGCTGCAACCCAGAAGAAATCGATCTTCAAATGTTTTCCTGTACGACCAATACCATGGATGTCGTTTAAAAAGATTTCATTTAGAGTTACAAGTTTCCCTTGGGTATACCAAATTCAGTGAGGATTTTACGCAATGCTTGTGAGTCATACGTTTGTGGACAGAAGCCGCTAAAACCTACATCATTCCCTCACAGTTGGAGGGACATGGACACATTCAAAGCACTGATGGCTCAGCCAACATTCACAGCGCACTTTGGCTTATACATGATTGAGATCGATCATTTTTAACCACACAGCGGTGAACCAGTCGAGCGGAAAATGAAATGCAAAGTTGAGCTAGACGCTAACAACGAATTATAACTACACGCCTTTCGGAAACGAAACCATTGGCATTAATGCATACGTTTTTTACGCGATCATATATTTTCACGGGGAATTCAGGTCCATATAACATGATTATTACCACCTTTTATAGCAATAAAATAAGAGGAAAATTATAGCTATTCTGCCCTCATTCCCTGGAGACAGCAGGTCATGTGAGAAACCTATACAAAAATAGTTTTGTTTATATTATATTTACATTTTTGCACTTTTGATGTTTTAATGCCCAATGGATATTTAATTTTTGTTCGCGCAAATGGATTTTCGATTTGTATGCGGTTTAATTAACCTTTTATATTACAGAGCTCTGCACTTTGTATCAAGTTGTGCGTGGTATAATGTGCATATTTCAGTGCCTACAGACTGGCATTGTGTTGAAAAATCATGTTAAAGCTCCTTTCTTATAAGAGAGTTTAATGGTTTGAGTTCATCGCAATTTCTTACTATATGGGTCACGTAAAATTTAGTACAGATCCTGATACAAAATTTTATAATTACAAATTTGTTGAGTAGACCTTTGGAGATGAACACACAGACGGGCAGGGTGGACCTCGAAAGCGTACATTTTCTTGAAAGGACAAAGAAATATATAGCGATAGGTCAAACCTATCATGTTACTATGTACCTAGTTCTTGTACCTAACATTTACGTAGTCGAACACTAATCGAAGATTTGTGTTCTCTTCCAGGAATCGATTTTAATGCCAATATGTCCAGTTTGCAGTTGTCGATGACCAGACGAGTTATCTGGGAGGTTAATTTTGTGTGCAAGAGAGGTTTGTGTTTCGAGTGTTAATATTTGGTTTCTCGATTGCAGGTAACGGCTGGGTGGCTTGGAGAAATGATTCTTTTCCAAACCATTATGTCGAGATGATTTTCGAGTTCGATCAGGTTCGAAATTTCAGCGTGCTACATATATTCACAAATAATTTCTTCACAAAGAATGTTCAGGTAAGATAGTGTGATTAACATTAACACATTGGTTCGACTTTAATAAATATCCCGTAAAGTCAGACAACCAGAAGTTTAAACAATTATTTATTTTAATCCGTCTGATCACAATATTTAAAATTTCTTATAATTAAGATAATAAAATATCATTCATGTTCCGTATCGATTGATCGATTTACATTTCGGAACATTTACACAACATGTTTCAGTTTTTATAAAACCATCATCAGGTGTAAAATATATCTAAGAACTTAGAACTCAATTATGATTTCTGTAGTTTTTTGGTGATGTTTCATTACGTTTGTTTTTCCATTTTTGGGCGAAGGTGTTGTTTTTCTTAAATGTTATTAGATGTACATATCGGCCAAAGATGTAGGAGTGAGTGTCCCGATATGTTCAGAAGTACTAGTGTCTTCGAATAGGTGTGGGTCAGAAGTTTAAAGTTAAATATTTTGTTACTTGTAATAGGGAAATGTAAGTTTGCGTTTCCGAATCTCAACACTGAACTCCTGTCAGAATAAGTCCTGAGTTTGACGATGTTTCTCCGTATTCGTTCCTGTTTAAGACTTTCAACGTATGTTTTCAATTACGTAATTATAATCTAATATGCGTAACACTTGAGGTCGCGCGATTTTTGGGACATTCCGCACTTCCAAACTTCAGATTATTCGATCACTTGAACAGTTTTGATAATTTTAATGGCAAACTGTAATATATTTTAAAATATATTCATGTATTTAACCATTTAAAAACAAATGGTAACTATATGTCTCACCTGATTCAACAATTTGCAATTTCAGGTTTGGTATGATTCTCGCTGTAAATAGCGTTCATGTCCTCAAACAGCATTCACTAGTTGATCTTTTTAATTGTGAAGTGCTGTGTTTCCTTTGCGGTACGGACTAAATTCTTAAATAATGTTTAGAGGAACTTTGGCTTCAAATGGTTGATATATTTATGTTATTATTTTTTTGTAGTCAATAAACTCGTTTGCTTGTCTTTTTTAAAATAGGAGTTAGTGTTTAACGTCCTTTTAGTGCTAGCTAGGCCCATGGATTTTGTATTTCATTTCGCTATGAGTTGTTTATGTGCTGTCAGATACACGTTGCTCTGTAATATATTCCTAAACTGTAATAAAATTGTTTCAAACTGAAATTAAGGGTATTATAGATAGTTACAGCCTACAGTTCGACAAATAACGCTAATACCCGAGTCTAGTAGCAAAAAATCCACGGAATATTTTTGTTGATATTAATTAAATTTTAATTCCTGTTGTGGTAATACTGTGATAAATAATCCCACCTCTGTCATTACTAAACATAACGTACACATTTACGGCCGTTGTAATGTGCAACGACAAAATGCTCTTTTAGGCTCGAGATTTATTTTATTACTTTAGTTTGTACGTGTCAGAGATGCATATGGACCTTCCAGTATGTCATTAAAACTAACCAATTAACAAATTAATACAATTACTGGTGTAGAGTCTTTCTTTCTTGAGAAGCCAAAAGTCACCTGATCAAGAAATTCCACGATTTTTTATAAAACTTAAAGGTTAATTACCCCTTTCACGAGAGCCAATCACCGGTTCTTATCCTAAGCCAGATGAATCCAACCCACAACATATAAACCATATTTTCTTAAGATTAATTTTAATATTATCCTCCCATCCGCTCCTAGGCCTCTAGAGTGGTCTCTTCTCTTTAGAATTTGCAAACAAATGCAACATAGAACTCTAAACTGTACAGGAGACAGTTTACCTCAGGTTGAAGTTTGCCAAGTTATCGTTTGAAAGCGTAATCGTGAATGTTACATACATGATGTCGAGATGCGAGACTGGACAAATGTGTAACTGCATTCAGTAAAAGAACTTGGCTTCAAAATGGCCACTGTACATCTCCCTTAAAAATAAAAATGAAGCTTTTCTGCGGGAGCGGTATTCTGGCTTCTGTAATCGCAAGGCCTTATTTTTACGTAGCCAAAAATAACAGAGAGAGAGAGGGAGGGAGGGAGGAGAGAGAGAGAGAGAACAGAGAAGCGTGTGACAGTCTCCGTACAGCGACACAGCATGAACCTCCTAAAATAATGGAGGAATTAGGAGATACGCCGTTAATAAATCACAAATTTAACAGAGAAAATATTTCAGAGCTGCAATACAGCACTGAACTAATTATAAACCTGCAGTTAACATGATTGCTTAAGCTTTCAAGGAAGATTGCAAACGTTCATCTTTCAATTTAGTTTCCGCAGAGTTACCAAAACACGTATCCCCTTGATAAAAATAATTACGTATTGTTTAACTACATATGCTTATGTTGATTAAGGGAGATTAATCTTCATCCTGATGACGGAGGAAGTAAGCTCCTGTGAAACTTACGTTACTATCGATCTGCACCGTGAGAACCTCACATCTCATTCGACCGTATAAATTTCAAAAGTTAACGTAGATGTGTGTTCTCCCAGGTGTTCGCTAAGGCGAAGGTGATGTTCAGTGTCGGGGGACAGTTCTACAACGGAAGACCCTTGGTCTACACGTACATGCCGGACACTGTCCTCGAGAACGCTCGAAATGTGTCCATCAACTTGCACGGGCGCTTCGGACGTTTCGTCAAGGTCCAGCTGTATTTTGCAGCCCGTTGGATTATGATCAGCGAAGTTGTCTTCGAATCCGGTAAGAATGGATTTCACTACAGTCATTTTTTCCTTAAATTAAAGATTAAGCCACGTGACAACTATCAGTTGTGGCAGAAGAACGAATGAGAATCGAAGTGAGGTTTAATTTACATTTTTGAAGTCTTAAATTTCATGTATATTCTCGTCAGTTGTCTTTATCGTATTCCACATAAAGTGTTAATGAGTTTCAGGTAAGATGAAATGTGTAGATTTCTCTATGGGTTTGTAAATTAGACAGGTGAAATGAGAGACGAGAGTGGATGAAGGCCCTCAGACAGCACAACTCAGTTGTTAAGTCAACAAGTTATGAAGTCGTACTTAATTGAATTAGTTTACGAAATATTCTCGTATTGATCTTGGTACCGTAGACCGTCACATATTGCACGTGTTATAGCAAGTATGTGAGGTACAAAGTATTCTTTTAAGTTGAGAGTTGATCAGCCGAGTAACGAATTAGCCGTCTTTATGGAACACGAAATTTTATTTTTATACTTATAAATCCCCGACCGTGGAGAGCATTCTGATATAATTCAACCCAGTTAACAATTTTTTTCAAAATTCTTTTTAATATTATCTCCCGTTTGCTTGAGGTTATCTAATGCAAGTTCCGTAGGTGAGTTATATAAGTAGAAAATTTATTGACCACACGAATAAACGTCTTCTGAGACAAAACCAATTTTCTTGAATTAATATAATATAATACTAGAATAATTATTTAAATATCGAGAATTGACTCGATTTTTTAGAGATAACCAGAAAAGTCTTTCTTGAGAATCCAATAATACGCTCAGCTAGTCAAGAAATCCCCTGTATTTTATCTAACCCGAGGGTTCATTACCGCGATTACAAAAGCCTTGCTTTCAAACACGTTTAATGTGTGTTCTTCTCTTAATCTTAGAGATCAAGTTTGACGCCTATACAAAACAACAGGTAAAATTATAGTTTTATATGTTTTAAGGTTTACGTCCAACAGGTAAAATTATAGTTTTATATGTGTTAAGGTTGTAGGTAGCTGGCGGAAAGATGAATGTTTCTGAACTTCGTGGTTCCGAGCCAGAACGTAAAATAATTTCCGCCTTATTATAGCACGTTGTCTGCCATTAGCGACGCAATAGTAGATTTTTAACTGAATAATTTATCGGAATTTGTAACATCAAGGCTGATAAGGTCTGTAGACTCGCAAAGGATGCATTTTGAAAGTTTGCAAACTCAAAATTTCGGTTCATCTTCTTGTTTCTTTTGATAAAACAAATCTGTTATTTCCTGTCTGCTGGAAGCATTGTCGCGTACTTTTCTACAGTAGGAAGGGTAACGTATTGAGTGAATCTTGTCACAGAAAACTACGGCACAGAGCTTTGTATTCCTGTCATGTGACAGGTGGAAGTACCATCCATAACACCGACGTCAAGTCACTCTGTTGACAAACTTTAAACATTACTGCAGTGACATTTAAAACAAGCGCGGAACCAGTTATTCCGAATTATGTGAGAGAAACTTCTCTGAAAGTCAGTTGTCGGCCACAATTTACATATTAATATTATTTTCATGTGAATTAATGCAAATAACAGGCCATTCGCTTTCCTTTTATAACAATATACAAAGATCTTCCTTGAATAATTTTCATATACTGTGCTCGTACTCACTTATTTAATAACAACTAGAGCAAAGCTCTCCTTTCAGAGCTCTTCGGGGGGTTGGTCAAGTTTTTAAAACGCAACCACCCACCTTTCGGGGGGGTTGGTTGCGTTTTAAAATCTTGAGTAAGAAACTAAACCAACCCCCCCGAATAGGGGGTTAAAACATTTGACAAACCCCCCTTCGGGGGAGTTGGTTGCGTTTTAAAATCTTGA